CTACTTTTCTGCGCTCTTACATGTGGCCCGAAACGAAGTCAGGCTGTATCCCTTAACCATAGTTAGTGACACAGATGTTAGATTTGTGGGAGAACATTGACAGTGACTCATGAAAGTGTACAGATCACAGTTAACCATGTCGTCAGCTACACACCCGAAAACTAATGGTCGAACAGAACAGATGAACACGTTGCTACAGCAGACCCTTCACATGTATATTAGACCAAATCACGTAGATTGGGACAAGCACCTCCCTGAGGAAGCCAGTGCATACAATACCTCCGAATATCTGTCAAGTACTGGAAGTCACAAACACCTATATAGTATACAGTCTATAGACGAACAAAACTGTGACAAGATTCAAAGACTACCATCTGGCGCCCATGAGTTTGCACTGAGGTATGAGGAAGACCTACAGCAATTTACTGAGAATGTCAGACATGCACAACTTAAGACGGTAGAGCAAGCTAACAAACAATGCACACCTTCAAGGTTCCCAGTAGGTGATTTAGTCTCCTTGAAGTTCAAGGAATTTGGCTTGTGCTTGAAGAACGGATTGCTCAGAAATTGCTACCTACATAAAGAGGACCATGGGAAATTCTAGATGTCAATTGAGATGCTAACGGTTCATCCTGCACGATTGACGTCCCTCCGCATATTCGCAACTTATCCAGTCATCTTTCCACGCCTCAAGAACTTGGGTGTATTCTTGCAATTTATTCGACAATGCCGTGTGAAACCAACTTCATTTCTCATTGAAACTGACCAGCAGGTCATGATGAGCCGGACATCCACAGTCAGCCACCAGATGTCTCTGCAGCTCATCTGCAAATCACTGCTTTGGTAACTTCGCGAGCTTGAACCCCTGAGCCTCTTTCAGTCATCAAAATTTTTTTCCCTTGCACTGTAAGAAGACCTCGTTGTGAAATCATTGACGTGGGTTCCCTAATAAACCGTGAAATATCACTTTGAAAGGTCACACACTGCACATCATAAGGTGATCACATCGTTCTTCCCCCTCCCCCCCCCACCCCCCTTTTTTCTCTTCAAGTTTTCCAAGGGGTATAGCCTCTAACACTATTCCAAATTTATCCAAAATGCTGTCAGGTTAATTTGGATAGCACTTTGAGCTCTATACGCATCATCATACACGATGCGTAATTCTGGGCGCGCACCATTCAGCCACCAGGCAAGCATTTTTGCAGCTGCCTTCATGATCCCATCATGAGGAAAATGGGGTGTTCATTCTTGTTTTTTATATGTATGTCTTGAAAAAATAGAGTTTTATTTGTTGGTGCTCCCTATGTTGGCGCTAGATGCCGTAGAGGGCTAATTTGCAGGTTTCGTGACTACTATTGACTTCGTTGAGCACCCAAGCTCGTAGTGATTTGGAAAGGATAAACATTACCCGAGGGAAACCAAATAGCATCAGTCAATCCATCTATTTATCTATATGAAACGTAAAGCGAAAAGCAATCCACGGCCAAGGCTGAACACTCGCCGCATTTCCCGACTGAACACTCGCCGCACCCACGGCCCATTCAGCCACCAGGCAAGCATTTTTGCAGCTGCCTTCATGATCCCATCATGAGGAGAATGGTGTGCATCTGTTGGTGCTCCCTATGTTGGCACTAGACGCCGTAGAGAGCTAATTTGCAGGTTTCGTGACTACTATTGACTTCGTTGAGCACCCAAGCTGGTAGTGATTTGGAAAGGATAAACATTATCCAGGGGAAACCAGATTAGCATCAGTTAATCCATCTATTTATCTATATGAAACGTAAAGCGAAAAGCAATCCACGGCCCAGGCTGAACACTCAACTTCCTGGCTGAACACTCGACGCACCCACGGCCCAGGCTGTGGATACTCAGTTAATCTTCATTCCTCTTCGAATAAGAGTACATAGCAGCCCAACCGATACAGATGGAAGGAAGGCAGGAAGGTCAAATCACATCCAGAGCCAATGTTTGGTTTTGGTGGATCTCAGGGCATACTGCCACAAGCACTCTCCTAAATGCATTCGACTTCGGTTCTCATCGTCTTGAGGATCTTAGGCCATCCGGACATTGAGCCACTCTCTAAAATGCATTTGACTTGAATCACGGCCAGAGCAGATGTTCAGTGACATTGAGCCACTCTGGTAAATGCACTTGGCTCGAACTACGGCCGGAGTTTACATTCGGATTTTGCCACTGCTAAATGCATCTGGCTCGTATCATGGCCAGAGCGAACATTTCTTTTTATTGGGGACATCTGGATGAGGATTGAATACACGTACAAAGCAGCCTGAGCTGGCGAAGCCAAACTCGCACTGGGGGGAATGCGCCATAATTTCAGGTCACAGTAATGTTCCAGCCTGCGCTCTGAAGGCACATAAGGGCTCAACAGAAAATAATATGAAACACTAGCTGGCCTAACTCGGTGCACCTATTTAAACTGTTGAAACAGAGACCTCAGTTCAGATTCCAATCGAATCGAATGACTGCAAATAGAGTTCACCTAGGGCACATGAGTCCAACAATGATATCTCAAGGGCATCCACCAATCGCCCTTCTCAGATTGAAAAGAGAAGAAAAGAAACAGTATGAAACCAATGTTAGTTCTAAGTTCATGCTTACGCCGGACCCAGAACCGGACCCGGACCCAGACACAGGGTCGGGAATTACGAGGTTTTGCCAGTTCCCGAAGAAATCGGGGGTGGGACACAGGGTCGGCAATGTCCCATAAATCTGAATTTTATAGTACCTTCTTCCGGCAAGGCGTTTACCGACTGCATCATACACTCACCTCCTTAAGCAGTACTGATATGTTAAACAGCCAACCCGTACTTAACAAAAAACATATAGTAACTTAACTTCGTAAATTTCCTAAACGTCATATTATGCACTACTTAATGGTGCGAGGAATGAGCCCTCGCGGGGCCCCTATCAGACATGCACATGTTCTGGGAAGAGGCCCCCACCATCCAAGTGCCCGCCCTAAGTGAAGGCGGGCCTGAATATTCACTAGAGCCCAAAATTCGACATTTTTCGTATTATGGCACTCAGGCTGTTACAGCCCGCCAATTGGTTGAGTGGACGCGTGAGCCTCCCTAAGCTGCGTCGTACAGTTTGACCCAGGAAGTAGCAGTTGCGCCTGGGCACATACACACTATGCAGGGCCGATACATCACGAAGTGGCTACAGGCCTACGCAAAAGCAGCACTGTCGACGTACATACCCCGGGTCCTGTGCAAATGCAGGAAACAGCCCACGTCTGGAGACTCAGGCCGTGTCCAACTGTAAAGGGCCAGGCCCTCAACTGTAGCACTAGGCTTGCGCACAGGTACCGGGGCCCAACTGGAAGCTACTGAAAAGCCAGGCCAGAAGCTTACACAAGGGCTTTAAACCAAAAAACAAAAAAAAAAGAAGAAAAAAAAAAAAAAGGAAGGAGGGCAGCCAGGGTCTGGCATGCTGGCCCACGCAGGCAATGCGGTCACGCTGCTGTGCTGCTGCGAAAGGCTGCGTACTGCGCTGAGGCCAGAGCGCGTGCGGGCATGTGTGGTGAAGAGGGGCGCTGCTGGAGAGCGGAGCGCAAGCAGCCATAGCCGGACTGCTGGGCGCTAGGGCGTAAGAGGGCGATCGGTGGTCTTCAGGAAGGAGGCGAGTGTGGGTGGACAGGGTCTGATGAGTGGAGACGAGATACGTACCCGCCACCTGGTACATGAGAGAGGTCGGCTATGGTGTTGACGTCATGTACATTGGTCTTAGAGAGATGAAGTGAGCCTGTTGCGAGAATGCTGATGTAGGTAGGATAGTCGAGTAGTGTAGGCTGGGCGCTGGGCGCAAGACAGAGAGGAGCAACTTTGGATACTGTGTTGGTGTGACCTGAGGGCTTGAACATTGGATCATTACTTCATTGTATTGCTCTTATTTGGATGGGATCTTGGTGCATTTGTTGTACACGACTACCACGACATCTGTGTGATTTCACAACTTGGTTTTCTGTATATCATTCCCACTCATATTCCTTGCAATGGCAAACAACGGTAATAATATCAGGCAGAGGTCGTTACACCATATATCCGGACATACATAACGAAGAAACAATAAGATGTCCGTTTTTTTCCTAACAAACAACACGATCTCTGTTCCTAAGAAGAACAGAAGGAAAAAACATCATAATTGCCCTGATTCAATAAGCTGATTTACCCATGGCTTCAACAGAGCCTTGAACCCAAAAGTGAAATCAAAGTTACACAGTTTGTCAACAACCCAGGCAAATACACTTGTCATGACAAAGAATGGCAGAGACAAACAGTCCAACAAATGGGCAAGAATCAGAATTCTATTACAAATTGAAAATCAAAACAAGGTAGCTTTTGACCTTCTGTAAACATCAGACTCCAAACTTCAACATCAGCCATAGGATGATCCCAGTTGAGATTTCCAACTGCCACAAACAGACAGGTGTAGCACTCCATACAGGATTACCCATCAGTGCTCTTGTGGTTACAAATAGCCCAACATTACTGGATTTGACAAAAGAAGACGAGAGAAGAGGACAAACATTCGTTTGAGCAAACAGAGCAAAGATGCAACTTTCAGCCGGAATTCTTCAACATATTAGAAAACAAAAGTTAAAAAAATGATTAACAAAATTTCACAGGCCTAATATTCGATCGCAAAAACAACAGACCTGTCAAAATCCTATGTCCCTCTGAAAAACAACCCGTGTTGCCCCAACCAACTGGGATGGGGCCCCATCCTATGGCGATGCAGACCCATCCCATGAGGACGGAATCCCACCCCTTGGAGATGGGACTCCATTCCATAGGGCCGGAAACCCATCTCCATTCCAAAGGGTCGAAGTCCTATCTCATGAGGGCAGTGTCCCATCCCAGAGGAGTGGAGCCCCATCTCCACACCATGGTACCCCATTCTGTTGTGACCCCATCCCATGCTAGCCCATCCCGTGGCCACTGGCCCCCTGGTCGCCCATCTTGGGGTCAGGGATATACCTGCATCTCCCGTTCTCCAATCACAGCCATTGCCACCACCATGGCCCGCACCGGTGCCAGCACCGCTTCTGCTGCCTGCCACCACACCATTCTGGAGCCCGCTGTTTGTCCGCACATGAACTCCCCCAATCCCACAAGTTCCTGTCAATTCAATGCCTTCACCTCCCCTCAGGCTGAGCCAGTCATCACCCCTGGCGCTGAAGCTGCCACCACCGCCATTACTGCTTGTTCCCATACTCGGCGTGCTCCGCACAGCTGACAGATGTTGGGGATTGTGACGAGGATGACGATGTGGGGGTGAGTGCCGTGGACCTAGACCAATAAACAAGTTGCCTGACGATGATGATCCACTGTGTGATGTACCCCCACCTCCCTCCCTGCTGTGCGAACCACCCCCGCTAGCACCATGGCCGTCCAGCCTTTGCGCCCTCTCCACAACCCCTCCGCCACTGCTCTCTCTTGATTGCGGTTGTCTTGCAGACACTGCAAGCATCCCACTACTGAGGCCTATAGCCAGCATTCCACTTCCACTCCGATTCTGCGAGCTGTCAAGGACTGGATGCAGTGAGTGTGTGGCAACAAATGGTTTCACTGGTGCAGGCCTCCCTGGCCAGAGCGCAGGCACAAAGTTTGGGGGTGGAGCGTGCGTGGGTACACAATCACTTCCATGTCCACTGGAGCCCCGAGCCTCCTGCAAGGACCCACTGCCCACTGGATGATCTCGATGGGCCTGCGGTGGTGGCCTTGATGCCATCGTCAGCTCTGGCTCATACAAGCCATCAGCATTCCGTGTGTGGGCATTGCCTTGCCGACCCATGCTGACCGTATCCTGATCATCATCGTCGCTGTCACTTGGAACTTCAATGACAGTCGGCGGTACAGATACCACTGCCCTATGATCCGCTTTACTTGTTACTTCACCCACAGACAGTCCCCCGACCGTGTTCCCTGTTCCGAGTTGATGGCTATTGCTACCACCAAGAGACACATTTTCGCTGCTACTCTCCCTCCCAATGGAGATCAGAGGTCCTCCATTCATACCCTTATGGCGCTTTTCGGGCCTGTCTGGCCTGTTCCACCCATTCTGGACAGCAAATGTGTCATCATCCTCCCTACTCCGTTTCGTGCTCTCTGGAAATTCGTCTAGATGTACCTCCTGCTTCACTTCGACTTCTGGTGGCAGAGGAGGGCGCTGAGATGTTTGAATCAACACACCATAGGGATTTCTCCATGGCACCCTCCGTCTTTCATCCCCTTCCAGTCTTGGTCGCCATGTGGCATCCATGTTCATTTCCACCTCCGTAACCTCATCCACGTCATACTCCCTCATCTGCTTCATCACGCATTGAATTTCATCAAAACCATCCATAGGACCAGCTTTAAGATAGCACCAGCTTTAAGATAGAGTGGTCCTTCCCACCCAGCCATTGCGAAAACAAACTTCATGTCATCATACGACTTCAATTACTGTTGAATAAGAAAACTTCTCTAACATGTCGCATTCAGGATAAATGAGACTTTACCCTAAAATTCTATGTTATTCACTTGATTGAAGTTGATTCCCAATTTTCTACAAACAGCGGAGTGACAGCATTATTGCTCCGCACTCCACCGATCCCTGGCAGAGAGGACCAGGAAGATGCAGGAGTGTCAGACAGCCATGCACGGTGTCAGCCAGGATTGACACAGTTATATGATCCAGACATTGAGCCCTCTGTCGTTCGGTCTTGTGTCTGTTGTCTGGTGTCCGCTTTATCGCCTGTCTATCAACCATACTTCAGGAGCACCTGTGCGTGCACCATGCACTGCATGGTGTGGTAGACACGATGCACCCTTGGCTGATGCGTGCACACCTCGCGCATCGCACACGTACAGTGCGCTGGGCGCCCACGACTGCCTCTGATCCAGGCACACCAAAATTCCACTTTTTTTCTGTGTGTGTGTGTGTGTGTGTGTGTGTGTGTGTGTGTGTGTGTGTGTGTGTGTGTGTGCAAGAGTGAATCGTGAAAGGGGAGAGAGGATGGTATCTCAAGGCTGTCGTCCTTTTCACTTTTTGTTTTCAAGAAAGTTTCAAAACAATGAAAAGGAGAGAAAATTGTGCAAGACCTGTACCTGAAGATAGCTTCCAGCAGCCGCCTCAATGTAACGAGTTTCGCAGTCATGGGATGCTCGCCATAACTGTACCGAAAGATGGAAAGATCCCTTGTATACAGGCGTGAACACAACCTGCCCTCATCGTAGTTCACAGATGAGGGCGGGTTGTGTTCATGCCTGTATACAAGAGACCTTTAAAATCCAATAAACTCATGAAGATGGTGCTTCTCTTTGCAAATTCAACATACAGCCACCTCTCCACTTGTAAAGGATGTCAGAATTATCTGTTGTTCACAACATAAGCAGCCCTCATTATGACTGTATCAGGCCCTAAAAATGGACAAATACTGCCTTGCCACAGAAAAAAAAGACCATCTTATGGCAGGTGGTTGCAAGATATGCCTGTCTCGACTTACAGAAATGATCGTATCTTGCCACCTTCTGTGGTAAGATTTTTTGTGGGTTCGTATCTCAAACACAGAACACTGCGCGCTGAAGCATCCTCATGCTATCTGTTACAGAACCTGACACAACCGGTCATTGCGACTCCCCACACAACACTCAAAACAAGAAAAACGAGTTCAATTTACCACGGAAGGAGAATCGAAACACTCGCACACACAAAGGCTACGAAAGAAGTTTTTTAGGGTGTCATGCGCTGCCCCCAATTTTTTTCCCCCCCTCCAGTGTGATTTTTACAAGTGAGGGCTGTGATGTACCACCACACACTCCGCCACTGCAAAATTCTTTTGGTCGACCGGGCTCGACCCCTATCTAAAGAGTGCGCCGCATCACGTGAACACTTGCGCTTGGGCATGCGCTATGAGCCACACGTGTGTACCAGGTGCACACGTGATCGCCGCAAGTGTGCAATCAACCGCCAGAACCCAGCATCAATCATCCAATTCAGTAATGCACCATTTAGTACAGGACGAAGATGCCCTGTAAGCCTCACCAGAAAATTCTGTGAGCGTGCCGCCATGCGCGGCCCCGAATTATGTTTTATTTCCTCCAGTGTGATTTTTACAAGTGAGGGCTGTGATGTACCACCACACACTCCGCCACTTCAAATTTTTTTTGGTCGACCCCTATTTTAAAGAGTACACATCGCGTGAACAGTTGCACTTGGACATGCGTTATGAGCCACACGTGTGTACCAGGTGCGCCGCAAGTGTGCAATCAACCGCCAGAACCCAGCATCAATCATCCAATTAAGTAATGCGCCATCCAGTACAGGACGAAGATGCCCTGTAAGCCTCACCAGAAAATTCCGTGAGCGTGGCAAAATGGCTGTCAGCTCAGAAGGTCAAGATGCCCAGTAGAATTCTAGGGGCTCGAACTCAGCACAGCATATACTATCCAGACCACCGTCCTGTGGCTGGCATCTGGTATCCACATTGTCATATGTCAATCAACTGTCAGAACCCAGACATAATGTGGCATACTGATACCACACGGGCCCCAGTTAGGGCCCGGTTCTGTAGCAGGCACGGGTAGGCCTAGTTACCAGATCACCACGGTCCCAGTTAGGTCCAGGTGGGCCTAGGAACCATCGGTTCAGTCCAGGGTCCGGCAGGCCTCGTTTGGACCCCACCAGACCCAACAGCTAGTTAGGCCAGATACCGGTCCATCGGTAGCACCGGCCGGTGGCGCAGTTTAGGTGCCTGATCAATGGTCCAGACCCGAAGGCCCTCAGTAGGACTGAGGCCGACCCAGCACTATATCAGGTGGGTACCAGCCTCAGTCGGTAGGTTAGTAGTGCGGAGGTTAGTCTTCAGGATTAGCGCAGCGCTTCAGCGTTAGCAGGACTAGCGCAGCGTTTCAGCGTTAGCAGGAGCAGCAAGGAGGAATTAGTGCAGCAGCTGGAGCAGCGCCAGCCACCGGCCCAGCCCGCGGCCCAGCGCCAGCCTAGCAGCGCCATAGCTACCGCATCAGGTATCCGGGAGGAAGGTCACAACTTTCCTCCCTCCTTTTCCTCCTCCGCTCTCTCTCTCTCTCTCCCTCGCTCTCCTCCTACTCTCTAAATCTAAGTCTACTGTACTGGACCACTACGAGCACGAAGGATGGTGACGAGTTCTGATGACAGTTGAGATAGTAACATTGAGACATTGGTTGAGGACTACTTCTGGGATCCGACTTTATCTACTTCTGGAGATGTATCTTGATATTGGGAGGTCGACATGTGGGACACCATGAGACTGTTTTCACCACATTTCGGATTTGCGTTACTTATGACTTTCGAGATATTATTTCTAGATTCATGGTGTTGACGTCAACTTCCCTCTCCTCCTCCTTCGTCTCTCCACTCCCTCCATTCATCCGTGTCTGATCTCAGACCCTGGCCTTTTCTTCGGTGTCCAAGGCCAGGGCTTTCACACCACGGATGTATGTTTGTGAGTGTTTCGTTGCAGTCTGAGTCAGGTCTGAGTCAATCCATGTATCTCAAGTCTTCTGCTGTATTTGTATTAACTCTGTATTATCTGGTCGGTTTTGGGAATCTGCGCCATACTGACGACTGTGTTTCACGAGTATGCAACATGTAATCTCCCGATTTGGCAATGGGCTCCAGTACAGGGAAAGGAGGCCCTGTAAGCCTCTCTAGAGTTCTGAAGCCCAAACTGTGTAGTAGTATGAACACTTCAGTCCACCTGTGTCCGGAAAAAGCACATGGTCATTGTTCTCTCCCTTCTTGTCCTAACTACCATTTCATCAAAACTGACAATTTTCGATAAATTAACGAAAGTGGACTTGGTCCAAATTTTGCATCTGGTTGGGTGAGAAAGTAGTCCATCCGATGTACCTCAACGTAAAGTTACATTAACATACATCCGATGATGCCATGACAGCAAATGATCTGATCATCCGGCGTCATGGGGATAAAGTCCGATAAACAGTTTTTTTTCCGTACTGCGAGGCGAAGGCCTCGATATGCCCTACTGGGCCCCTATTTGCAACAGCATCGGCCACCCCAAGTGAAGGCAGGCCCGACAGACCCTAAGAGGCCTATTTTGGACCACTTCGCAACTGGAGAAAATGCAGGCAGTTGCACAGCGCCAGTTGGTTGGAAGCACCCAGGCCCTGATCTCCTTTATCAAATGCATCTGAGGCAGGCCCTGGGCGAGATTCGCAGCATAGGCCCAACTCAGACTGTGGGTAGTTGGGCACAAATAACTGTCGGTGACCCTGGGCCAATTCGTTTGGTCTGAGGCTCAGCCTCCCTGGGCCTACCGGAAGCTTCTGGGCCGAGGCCCAGCACAGCCACGCTGCACGCACGCAGGCTGGCCATTTCCATATAGGAAAGGACCAGCCCACGCTTTGGTCTTTCTGGTGCTGGCTGCATGCTGCGCTGAAGATGGCTGGCACTCTCGCGCTCACGGGCGAGCTGGAAGGAGCAGGCAGCCATTGGGTGTGGCGCATGGTGGTCCTTGGGTGCAAGTGGCATCTGTGAGTTGGGGAATGGGGTTGTGAGTGATACGAGAGACATACCTGGTGCTAGAAGCGATGGCATTGTCCGAGATCTGCTCATACTTCGGTTAAGCTGTTGACGTCATCCGGCGGCATTATAGAGTAGGCTAGATAGGATCTGCCCTCTGTAATCTGGGCGCCGAGCGCCAGATAGGATATCAACATTGGTTCTTCATTGATGATGATGATGAGACTTTACCAGCATTGTCAATTATGAGCTCTTGGTGTGTTCTTATTTGGTGAAACTCGTGATGCAGTTCTGCTGTTGGTTCGAGGTCACGACTATCTGGTCTTGTGTGTATGATGCTGTTTGATTTCTGAAGTTCGCTATCGCTCATCTTCCTTGCAGTACACTCGATTTCGTGACTTTAGAACAAAATGTCAGTTTTCAAGAAATGTTAGTTTAGGATAGAAAAAGTCCACAAGCAAGTGACTTTTAGGACACATATTTTAGACTTGGGTAGAAATCATCACCAGATCGTGGACTGTATGCTTTTTTTTTTCTCTTTTTCCCCCGAGCAAGTGACTTTTAGGACGCATTTTTTAGCCTTGGGTAGAAATCGTCACCAGGTCGTGGACTGTATGGTTTTCTTTCTCTATTTTTTCCCCTCTCTATCTCTCTATCTCTCACACACACACAGACACACACACACACATGACACAGGAAATAGGAGGACTAGGAAAAACCCAGCAATTCAAAAACCTGAAATCGATGAAATCTGAGAAGGACAAGACCAAGAACTGACCCCTGCACCATCTGTCTGTCTGTCTGTCTCTTTCTCTCTCTCTCTCTCTCTAGCACGCGCAGGCATGTGATGGCACATATGCAGGTGCACCATGGGGCCCTCCTTCCCTCTGCTGTTCCATGACTGCTTTACCTCATGCATGCCCCCATTCCGCCCAACAAGGCCGGCACTAGCAATCTCCATCCTCCATCCCAGAGCACGTTCCTCACCTCCTCCACGTGCCAATTGAAGTACGAGTGGATGAAGGAAAATGCAACAAATCAGACCTTGAATTCGACCTGAAAGAGTGGAGCTGGAAACAGGAAAATCCGGGAGATCAAGAACGATATTCAAATATGATGTAAAATTCGGATACGACTACTTATTACAGACCACGGACCCGGATCCCAGACTCAAAGAAAAACGGAGGGAGATCCTGAACCTAGATTCTACGGACCCCATCTCCATCCCCTGGACGAAGTACCTGTCCATCAGACCCGTCAGGATCCGCATGCAGTGGCTGATAGCCCACGCATCTCTGCCCGTCAACCAATGGCTCCACAAGAGGAGGAAACATACTGATCCTGACAGCTCTGACTTATGTGTGCTGTGTACAGACAACAAACCAGAAGACATACCCCACTGCGTCTTGTACTGAACTGAAGCAGCCTGGATATAGAACAAGGTTCGCAACCTATGGTCTCTCCTCTTCTCATCAACCCCCAACTGCGTCTTGTACTGCATTGAAGCAGCCTGGATACAGAACAAGGTTCGCGACCTATGGTCTCCTCTTCTATACACATCTAGAT